GGGGCCGGGAGTGGAGGGCCGAGGGTGGAGGGTGGAGGGTGGGCAGGGCGGAGGGCGAGCAGGGCCTCGGACACGGCGCGGGGCCTGCTCTTCACGGCTGGAAGGAAGTTCCCTCTGGACAAACACGAATGCCCTAAAGCAGGCACGTGGCAGGTGTCTGGGCAGAGAATCGGGTGCAGAGACGGAAGGGCCAGGGCAGCGAGCGGGCCTCGGCCTCAGTGAGGAGACGCAACCTCATGCGGAACTGGGGTCCGTCAGAGCCGTGTGCACAGACCACCTATGGAGAAGGCCTGGCTTTGTTTTATTTCCAAATCACTCTGACCGATTTCTGTAAGATCAGGCCACGTGCTCAGACACTGCGTCGAAGTCACACTGCCACAAAAGTTTCCGATCATGGACAAGGGAACGTCGGAGAGGTAACAGGAAAACGGGATTAAAGTACAGGGTAATTTGGTGCAAAAGAAATCCTGAAATCCACGTGTGGAGTCTGGGTAACCCTCATTTCCCGCGAGCTTTCTCCGTCTGAGGCCCCGTCTGCAGACCACGGCGGAGGAGCTCGGGAAGGGACCTACTCGGAGGTGACAGCGCCGCGGTGGGAGGTGGATCCTGCCCCGAGGGAGAAACTGAGGCCCGAGCACCCTCGCGCGCATGTGCACAGGCGCTCTGGCAGAGTAAACTTTAAAGACTGGAATTAGGATCACTGAACTTTAATAGCCTCAAATAAAATACAAGTGGGACTAAAAGTATTGATTTGGCAAAGCAGCAGGAAACGAAGCCAGTTCACAAACTTGTATTTCAATATATTTGAAAACTGCAATTAAAGGAAAAGTACTACTTACAAAATCAGCATCAAGTATTTAGTAAGCCGAGCTGTACACTGAAAAGCGGCTTAGCTGGGGGCCAGCAGCCAGTGTGGTGGTTAAGGTGGTAAATTCCCACTTGGCTGACCACGGTTCGAGCCTAGGATCCGGTAACTTGAAGCTCACAATGGGCGCATGTGTGTACGTGCCCTAAAACCTAAGAGAATGGAGGAGAAGGGACTGAGGTGTGGCCATTCCCCTGGGGGTCATTTCTCACTTTCCCTCTCACTGTCTCTCTCCAGTGAGCACATATGCCCTATGACAAAAACCTAAAAAAAAAAAAAGGTCAATTTTGCTACTATGTGTTTCCCACAATTAAGATTTTAACTAAAAAATAAAAATAGGCTCTCTGCTACTCCCCCCAAAATGACAACATGAGATAGAGACCAGTTCAACAAAGCAGGGCCGGCCGTGGTGCGGTGAGTGAGCTCTGTGCAGAGGAGGCGGGTTCCCGGGACCAGCCCTGCTGTGAGTCCCAGTCCCGTGGCTGGGGAGCTGCAGGCGGTATGGTAGTTAAGGTGCCGGACGAACCGCCGTTCAAGTCCTGGACCTGGAGGCTTGCTTTCTCACTCCCCGCCTCCTCTCTCACTCTGTCCCTCTCTGCTCAAATTAAAAATAAATAAAGTTAAATAAAAATAATTCTTTTTTAAAAAGAAAGATACACATGTATACATGCCCAAGATACTAACTAGATGGAGAAGTGCAAAAAAAAAAAAAAAGAAGAAGAAAAGAAAATTACAGCGTTACCAGGCCCCCACTGGGACATTCTCTGTCTCTCTCTCTCTCTCTCTCTCTCCCCCGCACATGCAGTTCCCTCTTATTTAAAAAAAAAAAATTAACAAAACATGCACAAGACACTGCTGGGAAAATATAAAAACTTAATAAGTGAAGGTGTGTACGTGTCCACGGATCACACCATCTGCTATTCTTTTTTTTTTTTGGAGCGGTTTTTGCTATCAGGCGCGTGCACTCGCCAGAAAGAGAGAGAGAAACAGAGAGAGAGAAAGCAAGAAATCACCTCCCAGGGGAGATGGCCACACTGCAATCCCTTCTCCTCCATTCTCCTCTCAGGATTTTAGGCATGCACACACATGTGCCCGGCATGAGTTTAAGCCACCGGGTCTGGGACTTGAACAGCGGTCAGTTACATGGGAGTTCAGTGACATAGCCATTACACTAACTGCTGGTCCCCCTCATCTACTATTCTTGAGTTCTACAGCTACGACCCAATTGCAATGGAATACTACCAGGCTCTCTGCAGAAATTGACCAGCTAGTTCTAACATTTCTGCAGAAATGCAAAGGACCTAGAATAGTCTGAAAATTTTTAATAAA